ATATATATATATATATATATATATATATATATATATATTCACAGTCGTGGAGAACTCGCTCTTACACCTGCCGAATGAGATTTTAGAGATCGATCTCTACTAAATAATAACCTTTACCCAAATAAATAGTTTTCTTGTGACTAAATTTCATTGCTATTAATTTTTTATATTAAAAAATTGTAAAAAAAATGTGTTACATGTACAATTGGATGTTTGTGTGTGCATCTAGTAAAAAATGAATAAAAAAATAGTTTTATGGTTTCTACTTAATTTGATTGTAACTGAGATAAATAAATTATATTTGATAACCAATAACTTGGGTATGTTTAATCCACAATAACATAAAACTCTCATTGAGAGCGGTCTCTGAATTCTCTCGGCTGAGTGCGTCACATGACTTGAAATCTCTCTGTTTTTGGTATATTTACCCTTCTTCATTCGATTTTTGATATACCCTCTCTCTCTCTTCTGATCCCCTCCGGCATTAATTGGGCTCTGCCCCTTCTGGTATCTAGGGTTTTCATCATTGGACGATCGATTTAGGCAAGTCAAGATGAAGAATTATCTCAAAGATTAAAGGGGTTTCTCTTTCTGAAAGAGAATCGAAGGTAATCGATATAGTCAAAATGACAAACGCTTGAGTGCTGATGAATGCCATCGAAACTTCTTTTGAAAAATTGTCGGTGACCAGAAATCTAGTTGGATAGGTGTCAAGCGGGCGATTAGTCAAATATGGAAACTTAATCAGTCGATGGAAGTTAAAGAGCATGGGCTAAACTACTTCTAGTTCAGTCGATTAGTACAGAATTGGCCCTCAAATTGGTCGGATCTTCAAGCAAGTTAAGAATGTTGTTATAGTGAGCTCAAGAAATCACGGAGGATGAATTTTGCTCTTGATAGTGTCTTTGAATTTGGATGATTCACTTCCACTATGTGCTAACATTCGGCTGGGTGATCAATTAGTCAATGTCAGCTCTAGATATGAAAATTTAGTAAACTTGTGTCACTATTGTGGTTTGATTGAGCATTTGTACAAAGTCTGCTCTAAAAGATTGAATGACATCAGTAACAATTCTCTCAAGTAAGGAAAATATGGGGTCTGACTGAGAGCAGCAGATGGGCATAATTAGGTACAAGTAAGCTTGTCAGGGTCTAGGAGGTCACCACAAACTACAAACCCAATGTCCACTAAGGATAGATCTACTTAGAAAACATCTTCGAGTCAAGTGCAGGAGAGACAACAGCTTGTAATTGTTCCCTATGATTCCACTTATCTAATTCCAAAGTCAAAGTTGGAACCTACTCACTCTTTATTTTCTCATAAACATACTCAACCCACTGCTGAGGAATTGACAGATTCTAACTTGCGGTCTCTAGTAATCTCAAATACCATGGAAGTTGAAGTTTTGGTTCCACATGGGAAACCTATGATGCCCCAAATTCAAGAGTCCTTAACTCAAACAAAGGACTCAGGAAAACAAAAAACTTGAAAAAGGATTGGGAACAAGGAAGGTATACTTCAAACAGAATCTCATAATACCAGGGCAGTTGATCATACAACTAGAAACAAAAGGGCTAGACTGCCTCTTGGACATGACACTCCAGAGTGGGAGGACTATACCACAAAGCAAGCTGAGAGTAAAACACACAAGGCAGAATCAAGTAAGGTGGGGGTTGTCATCCTTGAGTGGCACCCAAAGGATAAATGCTAGCTACAGAGAGCACTGGGTGGGCCATTTACGATTTCTCAAATTCGAGAGTCAATTAGGACTCATCACCCACTTTTCCTTTTACTCTCTGAAACAAAAAAGAAAAAGAAAAAGAAGAACACAGTGCTTTTGTTAAATCGATTGTTAGAACATTGAGACATGTAGATAGAATGGCTTCAGTGGAACCTATAGGGCTGAGTGGTGGTCTTCTCCTCTGCTGGGACCCAAATGTTGTTACTAAGCATATTAAAAAAAAAAATTGTATATATTGCAGTGGAATTTCAATTGGGATTTTCTAATACTCAGTGGGGTGTATTTGTTTATCTCAGTGCTTGTAAGTATGTGAGAGCAATTCAATGGGCAAAGGTGGGAGCGGATAGACATAGTTGGGGCCAGAGTTGGTTTGCTTTAGGAGACTGGAATGACTTGTGTTCTTTGGAGGAGAAAACATGAGGTGTTCTTAGAAGTGAGAGGAGTTTCATGGGGTTTAGAAATTTCACTAAAAATATGGAGTTGGAGGAAGTCAGGATGCTAGGCTACCAATATACTTGGTATAACAACATGGCAGGAGAAGGACTAGTGGAGAAAAAACTAGATAGGGCTTTTAGCTCATTTGAATGGCTTCTTTCAATTTCCAAATGCTACAGTTTCAAATGTGGTTAAGAGTTCCTCTGATCACTCAATGATCCTTCTAAATATGGGGCAGCTACAACAGAGAAGGAAAGCTCGTTTCCATTTTAACAACAGATAGATTGGCAAGGAGGGCTTCAAGGAAACAGTTATCACAACATGGTCTACTCCCACTCATGGAACTCCCTTTTCCAAACTCAATAAAAAGGTCAAGCACACTAGACTGACTCTCCTTCAGTGAAGCTCGCAATTTAAAACCCAGAACCAGCAGTTCATCGACATCCTCTCTAAAAAGCTAGATCTCTTAAGGACAAACAAAGCAAATACAAACTGGGACTTGTGGTAAAACACCAGGAAAGAATTGGACAAAGATCACACTTGGGAAGAACTCTACTGGCAGTAGAAATCCATGCTTAGATGGCTCAAGGAAGGTGATGGTAACACCAAATTCTTTCACGCATACACCTTACATAAGAAAAGACTCAATGCCATAACTAGTTTGACCTCTCCTCAAGGTAGAGAATACACTACTCAAAGGGACATTGAAACCCACATTTCTGAGTTCTACTTCAACCATGGGAATTCAATTTTTCACTTAATTCCTCAGACCATCACAACTGGAATGAATCAAGACCTCCTTAAGCCAGTTGTTGAAGAGGAGGTGAAGGATTCTCTTTTCAGTCTTCACCCTGATAAAGCACTAAGAGAGGATGGCATGAGTGCTCCGTTCTATCAGCAATTTTGGTCTCTCAAAAAACCTAAACTCATGGCTGCTACTTTGAGCTTCTTTCAGTCAGCTACTTTATTAAAATACTGGAACCATACT